GTACTAGGACGATGTTGTTAATATTTTGCATTAGCTATAGGGCTTGGTGTAATACTGGAGTTCAGCTCTCGCTACAAATGCTAACAGATTTATTTAGGAAACCTTCAAACCAAAAATGGAAGATCTGGGAGGCATCTTGCTCCAGCAAGAGGCGGAGTACATCCTGGACAGGTCGCCAGCAACACAGAGACAGACAGGTGAAAAACAACCGTGCATGCAGAGATTCACACCTAAGGATGGGTTTAGAGAAATCAATTAACCTAACAATCATGCTTTTGGACTTTGGGAGGAAGCCGGAGTACCCGGAGAGAACCCACACAAGCATGGGGAGAACATGCAATATTCGTGCAAAAAGACTCGGCACAAAGACCTGGAGGTCAGCCGGAGACCAACGGGACTCCATACGAAGCCCTGGAGGTCAGCCGGAGAGTGTCTGATGACCTGGCGACAAATGGGATTAGAGTCTGATGGTCTGGGAACTCGAGGCCTCAAGTTCCCATGGCACCGCAGTCCTGCGGGCCTCAAGCTCTCCCTCCAACATCTTCCGCCATCAGCCCCTGAGTGTCAAGCTCCCTTGACACCGCAGTGCTTTTGTTGTAAAGCTTTTCTGCCCCAAATAATCAAGTCTGAAGTTTTGAGTTATCATGACACTTTTTAAATCACAATTCGATCCAGTATCTCAGAGTACCATTTTCGGACATTTTCTGGTATGTGTTGATGATACCTCCGACCACACGTGCGATTACTGACGGCTGGTCTGAATCCGACTGGCTTTCTCCGTGGGTTTCCTCTTTAGGCTGCTGCTGGATCTGCTGTTCCACTCCGTCCCTCATCTTTTTGGTCAACTTTTCCCCTTCCAAGACACTTCCGATACTTTTCAGTTTCAGGGCGGTGTTTTCCTGTTCGAAGAAAGTGTTTTTATCCTTTAAGGCAGTGGTTGTCTTCTCCAGGGTCTCGCTTTTCAGCTTCAGGTCGGTGCTTATTTTCATCAAGTCAGCGATTTTCTGCCTCAGGCTGGTGTTTTCCTTCTCTAGCAAGCTTTTTCCCTCCTCCAAAGCAGTGATTTTCTGTCCCCGGTTGGTGATTTCCTGCTTGAGGATGGCTCTTATTTGTTCCAAGGCAGTGGTTTTCCTCTCTAAGATGGTTCTGTTCTGCTTCTCAGTGGTGCTTCTCTGCTTCAGGGTGGTGTTTTCCTTCTCCAACGAGCTTTTTCCCTCCTCCAAAGCAGTGATTTTCTGCTGCCGGGCGGTGTTTTCCTGCTTGAGGATGGTGTTAATTTGCTCCAAGGCAGTGGTTTTCCTCTCCAAGACTGCACTTTTCTGCTCCAGAGCTGCGCTTCTCACCTTCAGAGTGGTGTTTTCCTCAATCAAGGCAGTCTTTTCCTGCTTGAGGGCAGTGTTTTCCTCTTTCAAGACGGTATTTATGTGGTCAAAGATAGTGATCCTCTCCTCCAAGGCAGTTTTTACATGCTCCAAGTTTATGTTTCTCTCTTCCAAGGCGGTCTTTTCAGTCTCCAAGCCTGCGATTTTCTGCCCCAGTGTGATACTTCTTTGCTCCAGAGCAGTCTTTTTCTTCTCCAAAACGGTCATCTTCTTTGTCAAGGTTGTGTTTTGTGATTCCAGGGCTGTGTTTTTGTCCTCCAACTCAGTCTTTTCCTTCTCCAAGGCAGCCTTTTCAATTTCTAAGGCTGCCTTTTTCTGACCCAGTGCAATATTTTTTTTCTCCAGAGTGGTCTTTTTCTTCTCCAGAGTAGTGTTCTTTTTCTCCAAGTCAGTGTTGTGTGTTTCCAGCGTAGTGTTTTTCTCCTTTAAGGCGGTCTTTTGGTTCTCCAGCACTGTGTTTTTCTCCATTAAGGCAGTCTTTTGGTTCTCCAAGATCCTGTTTTTCTGTCGCAGTGCAAAACTTTCTTTCTGCTGCGTATAGGTCCTCTTCTCCAAGGCGTTCTTTTCTACCTCTAACGCAGTCTTTCTTCTCTCCAAGGCGGTCTTTTCTATTTCTAAGGCTGTGTTTCTCTCCTCCACAGCGACCTTCTCTTTCTCCAAACGAGTATTTTTCTCCTCCAAGGCGGTCTTTTCGTTTTCCAAGGTGATCTTTTCATTCTCCAAGGCGATCTTTTCGTTCTCCAGCACAGTGTTTTTCTCCTCCAAGACGGCCTTTTTCTTCTCCAGAGCAGTGATATTTTTCTTCAAAGTTTTGTTTGCGTCCAACTGTTTCTTTAATTCGTCGTCTTTCTCCTGAACCAGAGCGTCTACCTCAAGCGCAGCTTTTTTCGCATTTAGAACTTGGATGTTCAGCTCCTCATTTGCTTTCAGCAGAGACATTCGCTCGATGGACATCACGCTTACTTTTTCTACAAAATCATTGAGCTGCTGCGTCTGTCTCGCTATGGTCTCTTGCATTTCCTTGCCTTTGAAATCAGAAGGCTTACTTATCTTATTGCTCTTACTCATTTTGAATTTGTTCTCTCTGGACAAATCTGAAAATCGATCAGAAAACTGACTATTTGCTAGTTAGTGCGATTAGTACGATACTTGTGCTTTCTCTCCAACTGCTGCAATAGCTATGACCGTAGATTCAGAAGTGATGCATTATAGCTCCACATAGGGTGCATCACTCCTTGTGACATCAAATTGCGTGATGTCACAACCTCAATCATGTCTCTACGATGAAGTAAGGGAATAGCAAAGGGTCCTTTAAAAATTTCTAGGTGGCGCCGTTGAGCCATTTCTTTTGCGATTTTTGCGACGACCTTAAAATACGAAAATTTTAAACGGGCCAAGTTTGGTGAGTTATTGAATATGATAAAGGCCCCAAAAAGCCAATTCATTTGGAGGGAGAATTGTATTAATAGGAAGAAACAGTACAAAAACAATAGGCCTTCGCAGCGCCTAGCTGCTCGGGCCTAATAACTATCTAATAGTTTTTTCATACAAAATCCAATTTTTCATTATATTTTCTTGTGTTTTTTTTTTTTTTCTTGAAAAAAAGTTTACAAATGACAGAAAATATTTTCAAAAACTTTCTTATTATGCACTCATTCCTTTTTTGGGAATTTACCTGAATTAAAATATTTTCATAAACACAGACCAGATCATAAGCTGTGGGTGAGCTAACGTCACACTGAACTGTGGAAGCTCCAGGAGTCCATTTGTGAAAAAACAAAAACCTTCATAAACAGAAAACTCGATGGATGGATAAAAGTCATTTCTGGGTCCTGCCATGTCTGGATGCTAAACATTCTTGTCCTTGTTGGCAGCAAATCAGTCCCTCAGCGTACGGCCAGATCTTCCGGAACTCTCTGGAGCCGGACCTGCTCAACCAGATCCTCAGAACCCTGCACGATTTCTTCATAGGGTAAGCTCTCTGGATGCAAACTTCAGAGCCCAGCTGCTTTTGTCTGTTCAAACTGCAGAACTGTAAAACTGGCCTGTTTGGAACAGGAACGAACCTCCGACCTCCATCTTGGAGACCCTCGGCGGTCTGGCGGGCGTGAGGCGCTTCGACATGGCCGTCATGTTCATGACGCCGCAGGAGAAGAAAGGTTGGACTCCTCTTCATCCTCTGCCTTCTCGCTCATGTGAGATCATGGTTGAAAACGTGTGGTTTCCTCCCTCCTCTCAGTGCTGAAGGAGCTGTTTGACTTCCTGCTCCAAGCCCAGCTGGACCAGCCCACCGTTTCAGAACTGCAGAAGAAGTACGGACTATGATGGACGGCCGGACAGACGTGTTCCTAGCTTCTAGCGTCTGCAGTGTGTTTTCTTCAACTGGCCAAAAACAACCTGACGTTTGCTGAACTGATCACTTAACCAAATAAAACAGGTGTGTTTCTGAAACTTGTGTTCTTGTTTGGCTGGATTTATTTTTATGAGATGTAGCAAAGGAGGAGAGTTAATCTAGTCAACTGCCAAAACCAGCGGATTTCTGCAATTCAACCCTGAATTATTACGTCATTAATAATCAGCGTTAGCGCTGCAATGACATCAGATGGCTGTTAGCGTTGTGTTGTAGTGTCACGACGCAGCCAGCAGGTGGAGCCAAACATAAGTATGGAAGTTTTGGATGTAATTTTCCGAACGGCTTTCCATCTGAGCCGCAAATTAGAAAGTATGGACTATACTTTAAAAATAGATCAAAACATTGAAATAATCATTCCTTTATTAAGTACTCCTAAAATATGTGTAAAATGCTTCCTAAAACTTCAACTAATTATGTGTTAAGATCATACATCTATGAGCTGCAGAGCAGAATTATGGTTATATAATTCTGATTATTTTCTGCTGGTATATGTAGTAGAAAAAAAGCAGTTCAGATTTTGGAGTAGGGATACACCAATATTTAAAAAATGGCTGAAGTCTTTATGTTTCACTTGTTTTCACTGTTGTTAAGCCCTAAAGCAGGTGTGTCAAACTCAATTAAGTTTTGGGCCAAATCAAGATCATGAAGGCTCTTAAAGGGCCGGTTGTGCCAGAATGTGTTGATAAAACCTGTTCAGAAACTGTCAATATGTCAATAAATTCTTAAAATTACATAATATTATTGAAGATCTTTTCAGTCACTTCAGGAACTAATAATAAATGTGACTGTTTATTTACTCGCTGTATAAATCATGAATCATACATCAACTAAATTCTCAAGAAACAGGAGGGATTGATTGAGGTAAATTGGCAGTAAACAAATAAAAACTGCATTGATATGATTGATAATATAATATTTAATTACACTTAGTGTTTAGTCTACACTGTGGAGGGCCACATAAAAAGCTTTGGCGGGCCGGATTTGGCCCCTGGGCCTTGAGTTTGACACGTGGGCCCTAAAGCAAAATAAAAAATCAAAGTAAATGTCAATTTCTTGTAAATCACCAACAGTTTGCAAAAAATAAATGGAGCAAATTATTTTGAATATCTGAACTATTTATTGACGGTAAACGCATTGACAAACAATTTGGACAACTACTAACAGATACGATGGAAATATTTCTGCGTGTTGGTGAAAGTTGATGTCTGCAGGTGTGTGAGCTCTTAAAGTGACGTTTCCTTTGAGTCCCTCGGCGGCCGGAAGGTCAGGATCTCTGTGAACGTTTGACCTGCACAAAGAGAAACGGGGTTAAAGGTCTTCGGTTTTTCACGAGCCTCCTTTGCTGCATCCAATCAGAGGAGGCGTTGGCGTCTTGTTCGGGAAGCCCTCCCGATCCCGCCTCACGTTTCCACTGCTCCAGCGGCAGGTCCGCGTTGTCCGTGGTCTGGTCGTACGGCAGCGCCTCGCTCTCCTCCTCCACGTCCCTGAACTCACTGAAGAGCGGCAGCTCCAGGGCCTCCGCCGCGCTGGCCCTGCTGTCAGGGTCCAGAAGGAGCATCTTTTCCAGGACGCTCACCGCTGCAATGCACAGAGACGCGTGAAAGTGGGCAAAACCCCCCCCCAAAACAAAAAAAAAAAACGACAACTTCAGCACAGAAAGTTCTCGCGTACCATTTGAGCTGGCTTTGGAGAAAATGGAGTGCAAATCTTTCTTTGGCACTTTCGGTAAACTCCGGATGTAGTTTCTGGCCTGTTGAAGGACAGAAAAGAACTCTGTGATTGAAACTTTTATATCGACACCTTCATTTCTGCTAAATCATCTTTTAGTTAAAAAAAAAAAGACTACTAACTTAGAAATGTCACAATATTCAACTTCCTTTTGTCTGATATTATTAAACAAGTTACAGTTCAACCAACTTCCTTCAAGTCACGATGCTTCCGGTTTTCAAAATAAAATCCATCTGATTTTGACATTGATTTCAAATTTTGGCCTTGTGAAACTCAGAAATGCCCACGCTTCCTCTAGAAAATTTCTGACATTATTTCTGAGATCTTTTCTCACAACTTTAAACCTTTCAAACTCAGAACTTGCCAGAAGAAATTCCAAAAAATGTCAGTATGGAGCTCAAAATGTCTTTGTTTTTGCTAGAATTTTTTTTTTTGTTTAATTTGAGAATGAGCCAAATAAATTCAGTACTGGCTGTAATATGAATCCAAATGGACAGAGTGTCTGCTGAAACCAAAGACAGTTGATTACACACAACTTACATCTTGACTCTGTAGCTTGAGAACAAAGTCGGGAGTCGGAGTTCCTGTAATCTTCATGATTTCTCTTAACTGGTCCAGGTCTGATGAAGGAAACGGTTAAGAATCGTTGCTCGAATTCATTTCTATCATCGTTCATGTCAAAATTTTAGCAGGCAAATGCAGAACCTCCCTGCAGGCAGGACCTCTCAGCAAACACATTGTAAGACGATCGCACGATAAAGACGTATCAATGTTTCCGCTCGTGCTACAGTAGCGGTACATGTCCTGTGATTGGTTCTCAAACTGTAGAAATGTTGGTCAGTTCATATTAGTGACCTGTAATGCAGAGCCAAAAACAGGAACCTATGATCTGTATTTTCAGATCAGTCTATGTTATGTGTCAGGTAATCATTTTCTATATACTGTAATGAAATGATTATTTTATAGTTATAGTTACTGGAGTCCAGGTAAGATTTTAGAGTACATTGTCAAATCAATCAGCCGGACAAGGATACGGTCGTTTCCCTTGAACAAAGGTTTCCCCAGCAACATCTCTGCCATGATGCAACCCGCTGACCAAATATCCACTGCAACGCAGAGCAAAAGTATCGCTGCAGAACGATTCATTTACAGCTACATCAGATCCCTTTTGCTTTTTGTGATCGCCATCACCAGTCTGGGTGTAGTGCATCCAGTTAAGGATGACCTCCGGCGCTCTGTACCAGCGCGTCACAACGTAGCCGGTCATCTCTGCGTCGGCCTGCCGGGCCAAGCCGAAGTCCAGGATCTTCAGCAGAACGGAGGGTAGGTACCGCATTACAGTTTTAAAAATGAGGATGAGAATTAAGCAAGACAAGGTGGCTTACCACTGAATTACCTTTAGCTCACAATCAGGGTTTATGGCCAAATTTCCAGGTTTGAGGTCCTGTTAGATAATGATTGATACTCATCAGTGAACAGAAGGTATTTACTCTTTAATTTGAGCTCATTAAATGTCAAACATGCTGGGGTACTTAGAAATGCAGCACAGAATTTGAATACATCGTTTTGTCTGGTTGAAAAAAACAGATAAACAGACTTTGGTAAAGCTCATGGTTCAATAGGTCAAAGTTCACACACCCTGTGGATGATCCCTGCAGAGTGGATATACTGCAGGGGAAACAGATACAGGAAAAACATAAGCTCTGCGCAGAAAAATGTAATTTTCAGTTTTTTTTCCCCCGAGAAAACAGAATGTTTGGAGAAAGTCTTTCCACCTTAAGGCCTCTCAGCATCTGATACACCAGGAACTGGACCCGATCCTCCGACAGCCTCTCCATCTTCATCAGCTTGCCGAGGTCGGTGCCCATGAACGGCATCACCAGGTAGCTGAATGTGAGGAGATCAGTGTTATGATTGGGACATGAACAATAAATAAAAACTTCTGGAAGAAGAGAGTAGAAAAGGGGAGGAGCTTAC